ATATTTTGGTGGACTTCTGCAATCCTAGTAAGAGTTACCCTTCTTGCTTTCTGTGTGGTTTCATATTAAGCAGGGCATCAATGATAATTGAAAGGAGCGAGATGAACAGCTGAGTAATTTGTGTGGGCAAATGTGATTAGAAAGGGGTGTGTGTGTGTGTGTGTGTGTGTGTGTGTGTATCAGATATTCTCCTCTCTTGCTTTTCTTATCAGTATATTCTAAATCCCAAGAATAAGATCAGAATTATGATATTGGCATCCTAACATATATCTAAGGATCTAATTTGTGCTGTTTGCAATACTCTTTATGAATTTTCAGCCGTGATAAGCTAGTTAGCGCTGTCAAATTTAAAACGTTCTCTGCATTTTACTGGTTAGACTATTGAGGATTGGAGAGAACTAGGCTTACACCTTTGTTCCACCATAAAGTTCACTGGGTGACCTTTCACTATTTCCATTCTGCCTCATCCCAATTTATGTGCTGACTTCTGAGATTAAAATTGCGGTGGAGGAGGTTGCTGTAAATAATACCAAGCTGCATCTGTCTCTTCTTCCCATAATCTACTCCTGCAGAGACAATGTAAATTGGGGAGTTTAGCTGGAGATGTTGAACAAACTGATACTTAATCCATCTAAAAGGTAAATATTATCATTTGAGAGGTCTGATAAACTTGGAAATCAGATTCAATTTAGCCTTGATACAGTTGTAATCGGTTTGAAGCAGCAATATCATTTTGGATGTACAAGTGAGAATAGTAGCTAAGAGTGCTTCCAGGTAGCTTAGTCTGATATGCCGGTTCATCTATCAGTTCATTTTTGTCTGATCTAGTCATGGCCATTCATAGTCTTGTTACTAGCATGCTGGATTTTTCTGTTGGGGCTTTCCTTGAAAATAACCCATAAACTTCAACAAACTATGATCAGGCTGTGGTGTAGGACTAGTTAAAGGAATCATATTATGTTAATTTTGTTCCAGTTTTGCAGGCTACCAGTATGTTTGCTAAAGATGCCATCTTTGGTTTTTCCCTTCCTGATTAATTGGAGCCTTTCTGGTATCGCCCCTTCCCAAAGCTTTCTCTTTGCTTGGGTGTTGCTTGAATATTGTCAGCTTCTGGGGCTTTTGTGCTATCCAAATAGATGGAAAAAAGGAAATTGTGGGAGGATGAGACTTTGATGCCTAGATGATGGAATGACTTTCACAGAATAGTGTGTCTTGACTCCTATTTGAAGACAGTTTTATTCACTTGAGTGTATTTTAGTTACACTCTTTGCATGATTTTGTTGGTATACTGGTCCCATACCTTTACTGATACCTTTATTGTCCTTATTGGCTGCTATTTGCAATTTTATTGTATTATAAAATATATATTGTCCATTTTTTTGCTTACAGGTTATTCTAAATTGTTTTCAGCTAGCATAGTGTAGAAAGACAGAGTTTAAGAATTTAAAATAAATGACCTCTTAAACAATCTAGCAAAATGAATATATGCTTTCATTTGGGGAGATATTTGTGTTTTCCTCCTCCTCATACTGCAAGGGAAGGACTGACTGTAGGTGTGAAACAGAGGGGAAGAACTTGATTCTGAAAAATGTCAGATGATTTGTTGGAGTAAATGTAACAGAATTGAGATGGATATAGGCTCACTTTCAATTTCAGAATAAAATCATAATTTCAGCAGTCAAAAATAGTACAAAGAACTGTAGTAGACACCCCTTCTTTGAATATTATAGCATTTATGTTGCTTTTTGAATGGTAACATTGTCAGTGGGCTATTTTTTAAAATTTGGTAGGCAAATTCTCATAAGCTTTTGTATAATTGGGAAATGGAAATTATATGCATGTTGAAGTTATATGCATTTCCCAAGTTCCTTAGATATTGTTTCTATAATTAAGAATGTATCTTTGTTTTTCTTTAAATATTGAACTAGCAGTGAATTTAAAGCAACATTTACCACTTTTTAACCAAGATGAGAAAAATTACAGAACTTTATATGAATTTTTAAAATAATAATACACACTAATTTTCAACAGATTCAGAAAAAATGTATATTTGTATGATTCATATTATGTCTTACATTGTAATGAAAAATTATGTATTTGTTAAGGACAGCATTTTATAAGGAGTGTACAGAATAGACTGTATTCTAACATTTGAATTTATTTTTATTTATTTATATTTCAAATTTGGTCACCGCCCATCTCACTAGGAAGTGACTCTGGGCACTTTACAGTAAAAACAAAAATAAAAATTAAAATACAATAAAAACCATATTCATACATAAATAATATCTTCCAAGGTGCTCTTGGTAAAAAGGATGGTAGCATCTTAATGGTAGCATCTTAACGTTGTCCACAACTGATTTATTTTGAGTTACTAAGGAATTTTAATATTGCAATACACAGTCATTTGATGCATTTTAAATGGGTTGTGGCTTTGGGATTGTTTCATATATGTTGTACTTTTTTGTGTGAATATAAATATGCAAACTGATTCTGATAACTAGAATAAGGGGAAATGTATAATTTAAATTGAGTAGCTATTTATATATCTCCTTGTAAACTAGGTTTACTGTTTAAGTATTTAAGTTTTCTTTTCCTGTTCTTTAATACTTCCAGATCTCTGAGATTTAGATGTTTCTACTTATTACAAATTTAAATTCATCAAAAGAACTTGCTGCTAAATATCATTTTAACTTCCATTACTATCTTACATTTTGCTCTGTCATAGACTACAAATGTAAAAAAATGAAAATAACTACGTTGCAGGTGCCTGATAGAATGTTATCTACTATTATTAAATAGTGTTTATTTAATAAGGTAATAGAAGTCTTTTCTCCATTTCTAATTATTCCAATGACAGATGCTTTCTGAGCATTTTTTAAAAAAATCAGCTAAGTAACTTTGAAGTACCAGAAATAAGCTGTTTTAGATGCTCCCTTCAGAACATGCATTTTTCAAATTGACTCTAAAACTTTATTTAGCTGTTGCTTATTGCTCAGATTTGCTGCAGAAATAATATAGTTGACAATAGTCTATGTGAATAAGGATCAGAATGAATTTGGGAATCTAAGCCTGCTTAAAAAAATCTCAAGATTTTCTGGTTCACGTGTAGTGATATTGAACTCTTTAGTCATATGCTTTAATTTGTGCATGGCGCTGACCTGATGCTGTGCAGGGACCCTCACTGCATCCCTTCATTCAATTCACTCTAATTATCACCAACTTCCTGGGGAGGCTGCTTAGATGGAACTAGCCGTGAATGTTTGTTGTTAAGTAGTAAGATATTAGGCTACCCTGTTACATTTAACAAAGTGGTTTTAGACTCTGAATTTACATATAGATGATCAGCGTACTGTGTTCAGATTTGTATTTTGTTTTGTGTGTGTGTTATTTCTCCACATATCACCAAATTTAGCATAAGGTCCTTATGCTTATGCTTCAGTATAAAGTGAAAATTAATGTTGTAGACCCTTATTGGCATTATGTATACCTGTCTTATATATATTTATGTATACCTGATATGTGTGTGTATGTATGTATATATCTCTCTCTCTCCTCCTGTACATCTCTGGTTTTGAGTGCAGGTGATTATATATCTATATAATGTACACAATGTATTCATAGGCCATTTATACCAGTTTTTTGTTCCTTAAACATTAATAGCTTAGGGAAATAGAAGTAAACATTGGCTGGCACACGTGTATTAAAATGTAGTCATTTTGTCTTTTCAGGTCCATGTGAAAATGGCCGATGAAGCAGTCTGTGTTGGCCCAGCTCCCACTAGTAAAAGCTACCTCAACATGGATGCTATCATGGAAGCCATTAAAAAAACGCGGGCCCAAGCTGTGAGTCTGAATGAATCTCTCCTCTGCAGCTGTTTCATATATAGAAAGCAAAGACACTAGAGTTTGTATTTAAAGATGAAAAAAAGTGAGGGGAAGAATGATTGAATATGCTATTCCAGTTTAGTTCATGTCACATGAGTTAAATGTGGCCGAAATTGCTACTGGAAATCAAAGGCTTTTGTAGCATCTGGCAGCGCCGGTTGCTGATCCTGCAGGTGGCTGCTGGATTCAGCTTTCACACCAGGGAGCAGCTTCAGTTCATTTCCAAATTTGCTGGGGAAAAAAAAAATCCCAATTAGTTTAGAGTACTAACCCTTTCTGTGCCATAGCTTCTGTTTTGGATCTTCCTTACAATGGTGTGTGATTTTATTTGCACAAAAGTTCTATTTTTTTGTTTTTTCAGCTTGCATGTATGAGAATGTGCACGCAGCAAACCCTTGCACAAAGATAAATGGTGCATCCAGACAGTATTTTTAAATGTTTCGTGTTGCTGATGAAATATATTGGAGTAGATCAGTATGTTCATACTAATTCTGCCTATTCTGTTTCTTCTGCTGAATTAGAGCATAGACTCAAAATTTAACAGGAATGTTTGGCATTTTTTAAAAAACAACAACATACTTTTAGGGCTGTTATTGCATCACTGAATGCAAATGTGGTCTTCAGAACTGCTGAATGCAAAAGCATCTTTAAATAAAATGCGAGGGATGGGAGAGGGATGGGAGTCGGCCAACAGCAGCAATTACCCTGGAGTGTCTCAATTAGCATTATCATTTCTTTTGAAATAAATGTTTCAGTATGGTGCATTTGCAAAGGGGGAGGGGGTGGAAAAATGGCAAACAACATTAATTAGCTAACAGACACTGCAGATGTTTACATTGTTAGTTAAGAAGACTTAATAGAGATAGAAATAGTTCAGGCTTTCATCTTTAGTTCACCGCATATATTTTCTTAGTTGTGAATTTACATATGATTACAAATTATGAAACTGATGATTTTTTCACATTACTGTGTTTTGTAATTATATGTGGTGTTGTTTGGAGTAGAGAGATTTGCATACTGGATTCATTATTTTGGTATAGGGGCATATTAACATTTTATCCCAAAGTCTACAGATTTTATATTCTGTTTTCTTTGAAGTGACCTTTGCAGTAATAATACTGGTTGGTATAGCCATGAACTTGGGTAATGCAACAGTTAGGAAAATGATTTGGAGAGAAAAACAGAATATAAACTTGGTAAAGTAGGGGATATTACAATCTTGAAATGGGGTGGAAAAAGTTATGTTGAGAAAAATGTAACAAGAAATTATGGGATTCTTTGATTAAGTGGAAATAAAATAGGAAGAAAACTAGATATCTATTTCTCTATGTCTTTGAAGGTTATGGTTTTCAGCTAGGCTGATCCATACTTAGTGTGTCTGTAAAATATATGTTAGGTGATGTGTATTAATTAAGTGTATACACATACATGTAGAATATTAATAAATCAGAAATGTGTGACCTAGAATGATGTCACATTGATTTTGGAAGTATGGGTGAAATGCTTTATATGTGATTTTAAGTATATTGATATGCTATTTGCTTCCTTGTTTTTTAAAAAGATGCCACATATTTAAATTGGGCATAAAAGTACTAGATAGATAAATTGAGTTTTTTTTAATGTGTTAGTGCAAACCTTTTCAAGTAGATATTTTTTCACAAGTGTTAGAACAATGAATTTTAAAAGAAACGATTCAGCAGAATAAACTCATCTAATATATAGTAAAAGCTAACTGTATATTGCCCAAATCAAGCTTCCACATACCTGATGTTAGAAAAGTTAATTTTGTCTTTTATTTTTTAAGGTCCACCCAGGATATGGATTCCTTTCAGAAAATAAAGAATTTTCCAAGCGTTTGGTAAGTTTTAAAATTATTTCAATTGTTTCCTCAGAGGAATTACGTTGTACGTATATTCAAACTATATGTTATCAGAGGGTATGAGTTATGCGTTGAAGTTGAAATCAGAGATTAAAATTGCCTCTTCTCTCCCTCCTCCACCCTGCCAGCATTTACTTGACAGGAATGAAAGTTGAAAGGAAAGAATTATGACTGGGGGGGGGCAGGGAGGTGGTTGCTACTGTGTAGAGCTTCATTTTATTCAGTGAAAAGTAACCTTTTTTAAAAATTCAAAATATATATTTATTTAAAACTTGCTACATGTTGTGAAACTTCTGCAACTTGTTTTTTAACAGCAACAACAACAAATCAGCATGAATTAGTAAAAAAAAAAAAATACTGTACCCCTGGGTCAGTTCCTTCTCCTTTTACTTGCTTTCTGTGAAACAAATTAATGATCTCTTGACAAAAAATAATGGCATTTGCTAATTTAACGTTGACTATCATTTGGAAATAACTACATTAGAAAAGAAATTGTTTGTGACCTTCAGAAGCCTTACAAAGATGCCTGGGGTAAGATCTTGATTATATTCTGCTTAATTTTATTACAATATTGACCCTGTATTCAGATAGTTTAAAAAGATTGGTACTCTTTTTCATGATACAAGTTTTTATAGTGTTACTGATATGTTTTCCAGAAGATATCAGTTAGTCAATCTATCTCAGCAACTAAGATGGCAGTGCTATACCCATTTGCCTAGGTATGAGTACTATTGACTTGGAATTGTTGTTAACATTGTTGAAACATTTGGTCAGGAAGGCTGAGGTAGTATAGACAGATTATGGAGAATTAATAATTACAAGCACACTTCTATATTCATTTATTTATTACAAAGTAAAATCTGCCTTTCTTCCCATTTTGAATAGAAGGAGAATAATAGGTCTCTAGCACCAGATTATAATTGAGATCCAAAAAATTGTGTGCAGATTTCTGTAGCTATACAACACCTTTTGTGGCTCTCTTTCCCATTGCAGGCCCTTGTAATAATTTCTGTGATGCTCTTATATTCACTTGCCATTTGATGATCTGCTAAGAGGTGCAGTTGAAATTAAAAAAAAAAAAAAGCTAACTTTCACCAAACAAGCAGAAGAGATTTCTACATACCTATGAGTTATTTGAGTAACTGCAGAAAATTTAGTGCTAAACTGTTATTGTATGGAATTTCTCAAAGTAAAAATAAAACGATAATAACAAAACTGGGTGTTACTGTTTCTGATTTCCTGACAGAGAACTATATAAAAGCAATTGAAAATCATATAAATTTAAAGTATTAAATAATTCGGAGACAGATTGTAGTATTTGTCAAATAAGTTCCAGTAATTAACAACCAGTTCTGTTTTGTGTGGAAGATACTGGCCAAGATTTAAATCTTGATTTAATTGCCAAAAAGGAAATAACCAGTTCAATTATGTTAAAAAATGATTTAATTGATTTCCCAATTTTGTAGTACATGCATCCCCTAAAATAAGCAGTTCCCTAATTAGTTTTTATAACAAAATATATTTTTGCAGTTAACTAGATCTTTATAAAAGGCAGTTATATTATCTAGGAACATAACCCCAAATCACTCGTTCTGCAGCTTAAGGCACTCGGTGCTGCATATGATGCTCCACCTAAGAGTGTCCAGAAGCAACTACAACAGCAACTAGGCTGCCAATCAATGCATGATACTGGGATCATGTTACATGCTTATACTGAAAAGTATGCACTGGATGCCAGTCCTCCCAGGTAATTCAAGGCCTTTTATCAAGCAGAAGAAGGTATCATTCAAAGTGATGCAATAGCTCCTCCCCCCTCTATTTTTAGAACATGAATTGACTTCACTCACACCTTTTGAGTTGAGCGATCGATCATCTGGATCAGAGCGTACAACCTCCAGCACCTTAAGGGTTTTAATAGGCTTACTGTGGGATGTTGAGAGCTGTTCTCAAAAAATGGACACCGGGGTTTTTTAGGGGTAAAATGAGTTGTCTTAATGATCCGCTGGGTTTGCCATTCATTCTGTCCATTAAACTGCCCAAAATATGCAAGGGAAAGCCCCAGGTGGGGGGAGGAGGAAGGGGGGAGCTACAAAAGAGATGCTTTCTTTGCACTCCTGATTTAAATGTTATCCTCCCCAATCACTAGTGTTAGAGGTAAGATTAATTTGGCTTAATCAATTTTTACCTATCGGATCACCAAAAATTACTTTCAGGTTTTGTTGTTATGAAAACTGTGATGCTTCTTTATTTCTACTGTGGGTTATGGCATGCCATGGCAAGCGGCAGATTAGGGGCTAAATTGCCTTTGTCTTCAGAGCTGGAGAGAAAGAGCTTTTTTGTTTGTTCCTGAATGCTAGGTGACAACTGACTCAGGTGACAACTACTTGTATTCTGCAAGCCCATCTTGAGACTTTCTGAATGCAGAGATCATGGCTGAAAAATTTAGCCTAGTTGTTAGACTTTCTTGCTTCTCTTTATCCTCTGCTTTTTAAAACATCTTGCCAAGTAAAAGAGATCTGTAGAACCTGAAAGTTTGGTTGGTCCTAATAAAGGTACTATCCAATTATGGATTTTGAATGGTTTTTCATGGAGTAATAGTTATTACTGCTATTTAAATGTTATATACAAATTTGCATTTAAACTGCTTTATATTATTTTCCTTTTTTTTAGCTGCATTTTCTGGGAATAGTAAGGCAAATAAAAGCAACAATTTGCATTTGTCTTCAACTGTGTTGTGTCATTTAGTAGTCTGGCAAATGTCTTTTACTTAAAAGATAGGGAAATAATTCAGTACAAAATTGATTTAGCAAACTCAGAACTGTGCAAAACAAGGAATGGAAGTTACTGGGCAAAGGAGTGTTTTTTTGGTAGATGGAAATTAACCATCCATGTTGTTTGATTAATAGCAATATTTCTCAGTAACTGCAGTAATATATCTACTCCAGTATATTGCCTCTGAAGTAAAGTATTGGTTTTCTCCATGGATTTTATTTTACATTAAAAATCAGGCTTATGATGTGATTTTCAGGAAGGATATGATTTCCAGCTATCTTATAAAACAACTAATTCAAGATTGTATGGCTTGACCACATCACTTAATTTACCAAATAAAATTACATCAGGCTCCACAGGGTGTATATATTCTGTCAACTAGGCACTAATTTTAACTGTAATCTAGAGGGCTTTTTTAAACATATTCCTCAATAGTTGCTGTCAAAAGAATAATACTGAGCTGGGGCATGGAAATATGAACATTTTTGTGTAATTAATGTATCACTAAGATTCATTTCAAGAGTATGTACAACAAATTTGGAAAGTAGGCTACAGCCAATGAGTTTCTTTTTCTATATGCTGCTGCCAGTGTGATTATGTTTATGCCTTGGCTACTAAGACATTGAGAAGCTCCACAATTCGTATGATAGAAGGGAATGTCAGACTGCTGTAAGCTTTTACTTGCTCCTGGAATGTTTGATCCTTTTTCAGTTTGTTACCTTATACCAACCTGCTATGTATTAATTTGCTGTACCAGTTTCAATAAAATATCACAAAGCAATTTATGGAATTATTAAAATACAAATATTAAAATAATATCTACATATTTATGCAAAAAGGGGGGAATAGAACAATTCATCCAACATTTGTTGGAGATACAAGTGAAGAGACAGGTCTTTAGCAGGTGTGTAAAGCAGGATGGGGAAGGTTTTAGGTGTCAGGGGCCATACCTCAAGCTCTTAAAAGGTTGTAGGAGGCAATCCAGTGATGTGAATTACTGGATCAAGTGTGGCTGATTTTTTTTTTTTACTCTTTGAGTTGGAAGTGGGGGATCTCCCAGAAGCAAACCATTTCTATCCTTTCCTTTAAAACACCAAAAATTGTGAAAAATTAGTTGAAATTGGGCTACTAAAAATTGCCCATTTGCATTCAGATTTTGGTAGTGCAGCCTTGGATGCTGGGGAGCTATGAATAGGATTGTGGGGGCTTCATATAGCAGCCCCCTCACAAATTCAGTTAGGAGAATGTCCCAGGTATGGGTTCTATCACAGGGAAGGCCCACAATGAGTATATGCAAGATAACGTTCTGCAGTTCTTAGCACTATATAGGGTGTCCTGAGGATCTTAGTGTTCAAAGATGTCTGTAATGGTGAATGCAGTCTGTCAATATCCCAGTCTTGTTGAACACCTTGTTTGTCAAAAGAAAAATCTTAATGGGCTTGATAACTAGTTGGCAAGGCTCCAGATCAAGAACAAGGCCAGCTCCACATAATGTGCATTATAGTAATCTAAATATGAGGCTATCAGAGTTATAATAACTATCCAATAGTTATTATAGCCTGTAGTAGATTTTTTTAGGGTATTCCAAGATAAATGGCAAATATCAAGGTTCCAAATTAGAAGGTTTTTTTTAAAAAAAAAATTGAAATAAGAGAAGTAGTAAAAGAGAAATAAGCAGCCAAGAAATAAGTGCAAAAGATAATTTAGCTAGCCTAGATCTATGTAAAGTACAATTTTTGTATTAAAAACCTGCATGGTTCCCCACGATCTTTAAAGTAGAGCCAAATATTTTTAGGATCAGCCCTTTTTATCTTGGGTAAATGGTAGATGACTTGCAGAAAACTAACTAGTGGGAACATCCTTGGGATAGAATGTGTATGTGTTCCAGAGCATCTTTAGCCATGCAAGCCTATGAACTATTATTGCTATGTTTAAGTAGGAAAGTGAAAATTTCCTATTACTTCCTGGCAGTTTCTTGTGAATTCAGTTAAAATATGAAAATATACCGATGGGGAAATGGAATACTTGGTTTACCAAACTGTTTGAGAAAACAAAGTCTTTGCAAACTATCACGAGAGCATCTTGTACAGCACTTCACAGTCTCAGGACTCATGCGAGCTACTTTTCTAATGGCAAAATGCTATACTTCTGAATTCTGTGGAAGTGGAATATCCACACAATTCATCAGCTTGAATGAAGATGGATCC